TCTAACGAGAGAGAAGCTAGGAGCGTTCGGTTGTGTGCTGTTTTTAGCTCATACAAGATTTCTCTCGATTGTAGGAAATTAGAAGAAAGAATTGTTAGTCTAAACGTTAGACGCGAACGTCAGGAACATCAATGAGGCAGCGCGTATTGCGCCGATATTACCATTCGAACATTAAATACCGCACAAAGGCAGCAATATATCCTGGGAAAACCTTTCCGCGTTTATTATAGCTTTCATTTATGTTTGTGCTAACTGTAAATTATCGTTCTTGGTTCTTCAGTGTCGATGTAATAAGTTTCAATTCTTGTAATTCAAGGTTTCATTACACGCTGCATATAATGGTTACTTCTCTATATAATCGGGAACACGTTTCATAAAAATTTGCTGAGTAAATAATTGCAGCGTATCGATTGGATTGATGCAAAAGGTCTCTCGTGTTTATCAAGAAGAATTGAAAGTTCACCTAGTTCGAAAATTTAGTTGTCAGAACTATTCAAACGTTACGTCTCAAAACGTGTAATATATAACACTAATGTATGCAATAATATTTAACATTAGATAGAGGCCTCCCGTATGTGACGAACGTATGAGCGTAATTCCACCGGCGTGATTCACGTTGTGGCGAGTGAAGGTAAGAACCTTCCGGCAATCTGGCACGGTGTGAATGTCGGTATTATTGCGCGGATTCCGTGATTGCCGAGACTGTCTTCATGGGCGTTACCGCGAATTATAATAACAAAGATCGTTGCACGTCCTCTTTTTCGAGGCGACGTGTTGCCAACGACGCCAACGTCGTCAGCGCGCGACCATTGTTGCTGATTGACGACGTGTCATCCCCGATAACTCGCGTCCGCTCTTCAGATGTAGAAGTCCTCTTCACGAAAGCGGCCATGGTCGTTCGATATTATTAACCCTTGTCACGGGAGGATCCTGTAACACTGGCGCGCGATGCTCCTTGCACAACCTTCTAACAAGGACAACAATCGCGACTCCTCAATTAACGACGATGAAAGACGTGTGCCCACTTATTCAATTTTATCTTCGGGAACTACGCACCGTGTAAACGGAAGAAGTGGAAACCTCGTTCTAATGTTAAACGTTATTGCGTTCATTATTGATACATTGGAACAAAGTCTTTCTCAATTATACTTGACAAATACGAGTCTCATGCGCCAATCTGATAAATACGTCGCAATCATTTATTCGAAGAATTTTTGTGGGATATTTTCTCGCTACATAGAGAACAAATGTTCTGGTTGATACAATTATTCTTTTGTCCGTGTACTATAAAATTTTGTAACTGAGAAATCGACTGACATTCCGCAGTAATTGACTATTTTTCATTTCGTACGTACTATTGGGGGACTGTGTGTACTATTAAAAAATTTGTAGCGAAATTTATATGTTCCTTAGCAGGAGAGACAGACCTTACTAATAGTTTATTCCTGCGCTACTTGAGAAACGTAATACAGTTCAAAAGAATTTATATGAAAAGGAAACTATAATATTCTCTCCGTGTGTAGAAGATTGATTATCGTGTATAATAAGAGAATAATGAATATTGAATTATAAGAATTAAAATATATTAGTAACATATAAATAAATATATTAGTAACAGAGAAACGCCGCACATAGTTTCGACATTACCGTGTCCTTTTCTTTCGATTCTTCTCACGGCGGCTACCAATAAATCACAACGGTGACTATTGGCTACCAGCCGATCTGGCTGACTCGTGACACTATTCGTGAGCATCCTGCCGCCGTCTAATTATTGCGATCTGTGTTCTCGGTGTATGTATTATACACGGAAGAACGCTCTCGTAGATGTGCGGCAGCGGCAACCATCTGCGGGAGTGTAATTCCCGGCGTGGAAACTGGCAAACAAAGAGCTGGCATTTGAATGCCAGCGACTACGACTCGCATCTGGTATGATCGGGCACGGACTTCGTGATCCTGGAGAATCGAAGCTTCTCTGTTTCAAGTTTCGTCCCCTACTCTCCATCTTTTAATTTAACCACACTCGGATCACCATCTTTATCTCTCTTTCCTTTCTGTTTCTACAAAGTAATCCACAAAGTAAATTGAGCGGCACACAACCTCTGTATGATTGCCAATAATTTCTTTTCTTGTTCGAATAGGTTCAGCATAAGTAGGTCTGGTATGAGTAACGTGTTGCAACAAAGAAATGAGGTAGAGTTTCTTGCCGAGGATCCGCTGAGAAAACTTTAATACAATTTATGATTTTACGAGCAAAATAGCGCGGTGAAAGTCGCACGATAATCACGATTGTTTCTCCCTCGTGAGTATTAACTTTCATATTTACGAATATAGCACAAGAATCATATGTTTTGAGTTTAAGTTATTTCTATCAGTTATTTTTAAGTTAATTTTTAGCTTGTTATTTTTATCAATATTGATTTAAAGTATACTGAAAGAAAAAATATCTAAACAATAAAAAAAATTGGTTGGATGCTAATAACATATTTACGTAAATTCAAATTCTTCCATTAAAATAGATAAACAGTTTTCTTTTTATGAAAAGTTAAGATTTTAAAAAATGTACATTTACTTATTTGAAGAATCTTTTTTATATGTTAATATAAATAAATATATTATATCAGCGTCCGCAGAACAAATATTTTTTCTTTAATATTTCTTTTTTTCTCAGTTACTTTTACAGTTGCACAATTTTTAATTACAATTGAAAAATAATTCTCAATAATCTATTTTTATTTTTTCGAAAAATTGGTTTGTGCTAATACACTCATAAAGCCGATTATTGAGTCAATGGAATGCCAGTCTCTTCTATCGACACTTCACGTGGCAAATGTATCGCGTGAGCAGAAAAATCGGCGCGGAGAAAGTAACGTGATCGCGGGTCAACGGCCATTACTTTTGGAGAATCTCATTAATAACGGTCCATGGCAGGTAGAAGATAATTCGCCGTACGAGAGCTCCGACGCGCTCGCAGAGAGACACTAGTTCCGTTTCGGCATGTAAATCAACGCATTAAATCGCGATCTTGAATTATTGTTCGGTGTGATTACTCAACGGATCCTTGGCCGCCGTTTCCGTGATATATTTTCGAAAGCGATGGGAAGAAGCTCACGTAAGTGAGGAAGAAATAGTATCGACAGTGTTGATAACGTTGTAATCGTATAACACGGATACTTTCTCATGCCGAGAGGTAGCGCGTGTGTGTTTTCTTAAAGAATAATTAATAGCTAGATAATCAAACGACAACCCTCTCGCAGGCCTCTCTGACAGCAAGCTCGTTCGTATCGCGCGTTAAAGTCACAAGGATGAAAGTTACGGATTCTAACTCCGATAACGACATAGTCGGTGCTAGGAGAAACCTTCGTATCACTCGTTCTTGAGAAACATTATAATTCAGATGCACAAACGTGGGAAACTTTAATTGCGGTTTCCAAATGGCTGTGTAGGATAGACAGGAAGATATTTTCACAAGGTTATTCTAATTAAAGCTTAACTAGTCTAATTGAAACTAACGACGTTAACAGTAAATTTGTAACTGCTCCTGAATTTCCTTTTCGCCGCTATATTTTTCTCTTCTTATCCTTTTTCCTTTCTTTTTCTTCGGATGGAATTTGCGCCGCTTCGAAAACCGGAATATCCCCGCCTTCACTTGCACCAAATGTATTTGCATGTTACGTCGAGCATTCCGCAATATTTCATAGGATTATTATCTGTCATAACTGATCCCTGCGGATTTAACGAGCAAAGATATCTCCCGCGACGATTTGCAATACCCGCAGAACGGAATATGGATGACCAGGTGTGTAAGGAAACACTTCTGGAACACTCGTGTGGAAAGTGCTGCGCGCATCACCGCGGTGAGAGCGCCTACGTAACGTTCGTTTTCTTCCTCCGTCAAATCCCGATCTTTTCGTATTCATTTCAGTTTCTTCGCCATTCTCATATGGTTCCATCACCCACGTACGTAACACATACTTGCCCATATGAGTGATTTCGCAATAATTTGACTACCAATGCGTGTACTCTCAATTCACTGCAGATTATTAATTTGACTCATTTTATCTGTGTCATTTCCAGAAACTATTTTGTCCGTATTATTTTAACACATAAAAGTGTGTAATATGTTCATTTTATACGGATCTTACGTTTAATAATGAGAACATCTTGGAGACGTATAACAAGTTAACACCACTTTGTTATTAAATGTTTGCGACGTGTTATAAAGACACGTCTACTCTTTATTTTTATACGGTTAGGAAATTATAAATCATAAAGGATTCTCATGAAAGTAAATTGCACGAAGAAAAATGCAAATATTAATCCGCAAATTTATTTTATTTACACTCGAAATATGTAATTATTTTAATTGAAATGAGAAACAAGTTATATAAAGTATTGTGAAAATCACAAAATTGAAAGCTAAAATCACAGCACACTGTCAACTCAAGTGTTATTATCTGACAAGCTTGTCAGCGACATCGGTATGTTATCTTCCACCGGTGAGTTATCTTTGGTTGGCAACTAGGTATCTGCCGTAGGGAACGTATTATTATTATGAATTCAGATTTATTTCTCGACTGCTTTCTTATGCAAGAAAGCAGTCTATCCGAAATTGCAAGAAAAACGACATTTTCGTAAAGTACGGCAAAATTGTTCTCGAAAACTATAGAGAAAACGATGCCTTCGATACATTGTGGCGCAGCTGTGTAAAGTCCAAGGTATATACCGTGCTACGCTGTTCCTCATGTTTTATTAATTCAAACATTTTAAAATTCCAGCGTTGCATGGGACTTTTTAGAAAACGTTTTTCACAGATAATTGATATTTATACAAGACATAACTTTAAAAATACAAGTTCGACGTGAACTTCAACGTTGAGAGACATCTGTTTTTCTTACATTGATGTAACATGAGTGGTAACGCGAAGATAAGCCGGTATTAAAGAGACGGATAAAAACAGGCGCAAGTATATTTTTAAAAATCCTTTCTTTTATTGCGTGAAATTTTGTATAAAATTACTAATTATAAGTTACTAGGCTCTGACAATATATAAATATAAGTATATTATTATATACACATATATAATAATATATGTAACATTCTGTGCGAGTCATAAATAAAACGTATATAATACTGCGAAATAAATACATCTCTTTTTCGCGGAAAATGTCTTTCATAAATAATCTAGCGCTACGAGTAATCACTGGTCACGAGGGTATGACAAGCAGCTCGGCTTGCCGCCGTGTGTGACTGATTATCACAAAACGCGTCCGAGAATCTCGAAGACTTTGACACCGGTCGCGAGAACTCGTACACTCGTCAGAAGGCACGGTTGCGTGGAGGTACGATAGACTTGAGAATAAATATATAAATTAAGATACTTTCAATAAATAATGCCGCTATTCGCGGCAGAATAAATACTACATGCTAATTGCTCTTGCAATAAATAATCGCTCGAATAAATAGGGTTAGGAAACTTGGCCGCGGTCTATGAGACGAATTCGCGGGTTCGCGATTTCGCAACAGTCTAGGCTACGTGATCAACGATTATTGTCAATGACTTCAACGTTTACTGCACGTACGCACGCACGCACGTGCAGATAGCTTTTATGGCCTGCAGTCGCGGCAGGTGCTAAATCAATTTGCATCGGTCGTATGCGCGATAGCCCGATGCCGCTTGGTGTGTCATCTCGCCCGCGTGCGAGAATGATCGATGACCTGCTGACGACAGTCTATAATGCTTTTCCCGCTCAATGTGTGCCTAATAGTTGAATACGTGCCGCCAGGCATGTAGGTAGTCTCGGTACTTGAGAATCACTCCCCAATCCCTGATTAGTCGGTCCGTCTCGTCCGACAGGACTCGCTCGTGCTCGCTCATGATGCTCCTTTGCACGCGCTTCGGCAGTCGCAGAGATGGCAATGTGAGGATGTTGCTCTCGACTTCGCACAGCATAAGGTTCAAATATGTTTGCGTGCCTTCCAGGGCTTCCCACTTCTTCACGTCATCCTCGTCCTTCACCAACTGCTCGAACGCCACGGCGAATTTCTGCAGATCCGTGTACAACTTGGGAAAGTGGTTGGCGATCTGTAAAAAGTCGTCGCATGACAAAATTATAGCCTTCGACTCTTGAACGTATGAATAATTGCTCGTGAATAATTTTTCGCGCGATATCAATCAATCGCTAAAGACAAGTCGAACTCGAAGACAAGTCAAACGACTGTGTCGACTTTGCTCGACAGAATTACATTCTGTCGGATCCGCGTGAATATTCACGTACGTCCGATTATTTTTAGCGCGGTTTAACGAATCGCAGGAGAAAATACGGCGGGATTCGTCATCACGGAGTATGGTCTGAATGAATACAAACGTAATTAGACGCTTTTATCTACTGATCACGTTCTCCACGCTTTCTTCAATCATATCATTCTCGCGAATCGCCGGACGATTCAAGCGTCTGAAAGAGGTTCCTCGCGGTGGATGATCAGATATAATTTGCGAATTCACAGTTAGCGACAATATACATCGAGAAGCATACATGCGACAAGACACGGAGGGGGGCCATGATGTCGCGGGACAATTTCGCGATCGACTCTGCACGCGTTATCAGCGGCCGTGCTGAAGGCTCCGCGGGAAGGCTCGGGAGCAGCCTCCATAAAATCCTATCTTTCGCGAACGTGCAACCAAGATTCTGGCCAAGTGCAACACGGTGGATCAATGCAGTCGGGACGCGAGATCGGGGCGTGGCAGAGAGAGAGAGAGAGAGAGAGAGAGAAAGAGAGTGTGTGTGTGTGTGTATGTGTGAGAGAGAGAGTGAGAGCGGGTAGAAGGGAGGCTACGTGCTCAAACACGCCGGCATCCGGGGAGTACCGCGGGTCGCCACGATATCAGTCTGCGTTATCAGCGCGTTCGCATCGAGGAGGCAGACGAGCGCGATTACGCAGCCGCGCGACCCGGCGAACATGAGTGCACACGTACCACCGCACGTTGCGCGCGCACTGCACGAATGACCGCGCTCGCTCCTGCTCGCCTGCTACTTTATAATAATTACCGTCTCATTAAAATTTGTTATTTAACGTTGCGTTAATCAATTGCAACCGGGTGGTCAGCGGGCCGGCCGATCGCTGAAAACGCGACGGTCGACTTGCAACACTGTCGCACTCCTCTCTCTCTCTCTCTCTCTCCCCCCTTCTATTTCCCTCCTCTCTCTTTCTCTCTCTCTCTCTCCCCCCTTCTATTTCCCTCCTCTCTCTTTCTCTCTCTCTCTCTCTTTGCCTCCGTGTCTCTCTCTCCGTTCGCGTCGCGCTCTCGCTCTCTGTCTCTCACCTGAACGCGGTAGACCCTTACTCAGGTTGCTCTTTCATTTCTGCTACACGGTAACGACGGCTACGAACGATGAATATTAATGATCGAGAAGAAACTAACGGCTCCGAAGTACAACGTCGCGAGTGTCGTTGCAACGGTGCTGCATTCGTATGACGGAGGAACTCGCTGGGAGGAAAGCAGTCAAGCGGACAATAATGAGTGTTAATCCGCGGTGTCGCGCGTCGGGTCTAACTAAGGATGTCGAGGAAATCGAGTTTCCAAAGGCGCAAAAGTCTTTCCGCGCAGCAACTTTAGCGAGTTTTCTCGCGAAGGACTCGGCCCGAATGATGATCTGGCGACCCTAAGGAGATCTTCGCCGTCGTCTTTTCGCGATTCGCGTCGATGCTGCGAATTTTCTACGATAGTTCCGCGGACAACGCGTTGTTGACGAATGTTCAGGTTGGCGACGAGATGGCTTAGGCCGCAATAAACGAAACGCGCAACAGCATGTTAATTGGCGCTTACCGTTTGAGGATTAGCGTTGGCCAGTCCCCTCACGAGATCCACGTCCCTTTCGTCGGGCAGCCAGTTGGGTATATATTGTTTCTTCTTGAGGCTGAAGTCTATCCTCTCGTACAAGTAATTGTAATCCCGGTTCAAGTAGTCGCCCATCAGCAGCTGATGTTGCATCCTGATCTTCCTCAGACTCATCGCCATCTCCTCCTCGAGGTCCTCCCATGAGGCTTCCTCGACGTCGTAGTCTCTTCCGCATGGATAGTGCCACTTCGGCACTGCCGACCTGATTAGCCTCGGTGCCGCGGACACGACAACCAAGACGGCTGTAGAGATCAGGCAGACTCGTTCGAAGAACATATTCGGATCGGTAGGGTTTCTCTTGCAAAGACTTGTTTTCGAGGTTTCGTCTTAACGGCGACTGAACGTCGTGTGCAATGAGTCGCGGAAAAGTGCACGGGAAAGCACTCGGCGTATACTCGCGATCGGCGTGAGACCGTGAACTGAGATTATCGAACTCCCGTGCTTCCTCCTTATATATGGGATTGTGTAAACAATCGAACATACGCACGCATGTTCATCGTCTCGTGCGCTGAGACGTCGTCGGCGGTGGGGTGGCGGCGCACTACGGTTTTTTACTTGCCGCCGGTAGGACCCCGAGAGGTCCCCATCCTTGGAACGCAGACGCTTTTTTCCGGCGTCATTCAAGCCGCGATACATCGATCCAGCGCGCTATAACATATGAATTTCTCGACGTGCAGCAACAGGTCGCACCGCGCAAAATGTGCTCTTAGTTTTTCACTCTTTTTCAAATTTACAATTAATTTATCGTAATTATGAATTCTCGATATACTTGACAGTTATATCGGCACAACGGGGTTTAAACGAAAGTTACCGCGACTCGTTCGCTAAGATATATCAGTATCGTTCAAGAGCCGCGAGAGAAAGTATGACTTTTTTCTACAGTTTATCAATCGGCGGAACCGCATTAATCATAGATAATCACAGAAATTATGTGGTTATCCAAATATATCTAACTGACGTGTTCACTTAGATAGCGGTCCCTAATGGTTATACTTCGCGGATCTCGCCCACATCTATAGACGTTTCGATTTTCCCCGAAAGACACGCGGTACCTATCGTCACGCATTTACGGCATTTGCACGTACGTTGGAAATTACGTTCAATCCCGTCAGAAATCTCATTGGCTCCGCGCACGCTATTCAGGCGCAAATACCGTTGTATTTGCATTGTGAATCAAATGGGAAAGCCGTGTCGTCACGGGCGAGTCGCCGGACTTTCGGGATCGACGTTGTGTTACGCTTAACAAACGATTATTTTTATCTCCAATGTACTCGGTGTGACGATCGATTGCCACTCGGCGGATTCGTTTGACCATACTTGGCGTCCACGAGAGAATAAAGTTCAAATCAGTCAAGAAAATATTTACAATTTACAGGAATTTTTCAGCTCAATGTTCCTTTTTCCATATTATACGGAGAGAATTATATAGTAGAAATTATTGCAGAATTTTGTAATCGCGCGCGCGCGCGTGAAATAGATCGACATTCTGCAGTATTTGATTCTTTTATATCATATTTGCTATTTATATTTTGGGAACATTAAAACGTAAAGCGTATTAAAAAAATGTACAATGTTTCTAGAAAAATTTATCTTTCTTAACAAGATAGACTACTAAATTATTTTACTGTACAGAAAAAAAAGAATGATTGTGCCAACCAGAAAAATAGTAAAATATGACATAGGTCTTTTCTTTTTGACTTCAAGAATCAATTCTTAGTTGCTTCTGACCTACCGATTCGTTACCTCAAAAATGCATTTTTTCAGGCAACGAATCGCAGTGCAAACATATAATGTCGCATAGCCAACGTAATCAGGAATTGGTTACGGAAGCTAGAAATCAAAATTATGCCATTTTTTATGTTTATTTTATTATTTTCTTGTTGACATAACTGTTCTTTTTTCCATATAGAAGTATATATTAAAAAAGGGAAGAATTTATATGAAAAGAAAAATTATATATATTCTCTCCATGTAGTAATGAAAAATTTATATTCGTCACGCAGCATACCTTCTTATTCCACAAAAGTAATTAAAAGTAACGCGCGCGTATCTCATTTATCTTTTTATATCTATAAAAAGTATATCTTTTTATGTCTATAGAAAGAAATGAAGAGAACGTGCTGTTTGTCAAAAGGTTTTAATTTTACAAACAACAAATCGTAGCGTCATTTACGAGTATAATAATTTGTCGCACAATAGAGATATTAATTATCTTTGATCGCGCGCGAAGCAGATCTATCTTTAATCGTCCGGGTGATCGAGGGCTCTTGACGTCAGGAGGTCAGTTCTTTTTCGCCGAAACGCGGAGTAGGGGTTAGTGACAAAAACTGCTGAATGGAACGACGACGCGTTACAACGCGTACAGCGATATGTCCCATAAAAAAGTGATACTATAATTAGTTGACTCGCGAATTCACCGAACTAAGATTAGCGATTTTCTCACGACCCACGATTGAGATCGACGCGACGCGTCGTGACGTACTACTATTTCGCGGGTGGCCAGTGTGTGTATCGCGATCGAAAGAAAACAAATAGGCGGCAAACGCAGAAGCGCATCGTACGCAATGGCTTTGGTGATTTCATCAAAATACGCTGAAGCAACTATGATGTGAATGAAACGTGATAGTTCATTCAGTGACGCTTGTGATGTGATAGAGCGTTTTGATCTGAGCTGTGACGTGTAACAGTGTATAAAACGTGTCACTTATACACTGAGAAAAGAAAAAATCTAAAAAATAGTAAATATTTAGTGGGTACACTAATATCACGTTTACTTAAATTTCTTTATTTAAAGATTTCTTTAAGATTTTAGAAAATATATATTTCTTCATTTGACAGATATTTTATATATATATATTATTACAAATAAAGATTATTAGTATCCACTGAATAAGTATTTACTGTCTCTTAAATATTTTTCCTCTCAGAGTAATGATCGACGGAAATTTAAAAAAAAATATTATATAATTAGTGTTATTATCTTCAAGAGTTATACGATTTATAAATATCAGTGATCAATGAAATGATTACGCGGTTTGCGGTTATATTGTACATTAAGCATTCATAACTAGTCGCGCTAATTACTCGCGTATACTGATTTGAATATTGAAACTGAGTCGTGTATAGGCGTGTAGTTTAGCGATTCATATATTTTGCGTAACAAATGATTTATTAATGCGGTATAACCAGACAGTCGAGTTACAGTGAATACATTTAAGCTCCACAAGCGCAAAGTACAACGAAAGGAAATTACAACCTATCCGCCCTTCGTACACTCCTATTACTACATTTGCCGCTTCTGGAAAATCTTCCTGGATAACAGAGCCGAACTATGAGATGCTAACCTGATTATTTTCACTCGCGAAAAACAGCAACAAAATATCGCGTGTATATACGAGTGGAATTTTCAGTGAGTAAGATAACTTAGAAGACGCGACGGTGTGTCACTTGCAAATATTACAAAACTATGTGTTTTTGATAAGGCGAAGTATCTTTAGCTATATATTTTTGAATAGCTGCATGTTTTATCTAGATCATTAATTGTTTAGATGCGCGTATTATATATATTAATAATATATTACCGCGATACAAGAGCACAATGGCAAGATTATATACTGAGAAACAAAAATCTAAGGAATAAAAATTATTCGGTGGGTACCTATTAACATACAGTGAGAAAAAAATACTTGAAAATTTATACTTGTGTGTGACATAAAGTTTATTCACACAGAAATAAACTTTATTTCACAGAAGTAAACTTTATATTTTACAAATAAATTTTCAAGTATTTTCTTTTTCTTTCAGTGCATTTATTTATATTATTAAATATTTTTCAAACAAGGAAACATTTTCTTAAACATTGAGTTTTTTTTACAATAATTGTTTATTCTATTTAAATTAAAGGATGTAGATATAAGTAAAAAGTAAAGTAAATATGTTATTAGTACCTACTGAAATAAATATTTTTTTATTTTTTAGATTTTTTCCTCGCAGTGTCTAGTTACATTTTACGGCATGTACATAAAAAGTCCGTAAATATTCAATGACAGGCAAATGATATATATATATATATATATATATATATATATATATATATATATAATTTTCTAAAGAAATTTTTTAAATGTTAGTACCTCACATTAAGATAAACTGTCTTACGACTTTTCGCAAAAAATGCGGCATATTCCTAGTAATATATATTTGTATTTTTATCTACTTCCTCTCCGATTAGAGTATCATTTTCGCGTCATGCGTTACAGGTAATGATCGAGCGTTACGACGAATACGGACTCTTTATGTACTCCTGTTATTTCCGATAGAATGTGCACTTTTGCACATCCGTGTAACGTGATTTGCGATATCACCGGAAGCAACGTTAACGAACAATCACGGTGGTGGATTATCGCGAGGTAAGGTGTCTACAGTCACGTGCTGTACGATTCCAAAAACGTTCAGTTCGATAGAAAACATTGCATTTTATTCGAGACGATTACACATATTATAAGTAAGGGAATGACAAATAAATAATACATGCAATGGTAACATGATACAATAAATAGAACAGAGCGCTGCGTAAGTATGCATGTACGTGGGAATAAATATGCTACGTGTAATTGAATAGAATAGAAATAATGTCCTTAAACACCTAAGAAGTGCGCGTCAATGTCAAGCGAAACCAAATCACGGGGCACGCGTGCACATACGTGGTACAAAAATATGCGTAAAACGTACTAATGATACAGACACGCTGAATAAGTACCGCGCCATCGGTATTACGAAAGATCGAATCTCTACACGATATAAACATATATATGTACACACATATATGCATGTATGTATATATATATATATACATACATATATATATATATATATATATGGGTCTTTAGCCTATCGCAAAGGACGCCACGTCGTTGTATGCTAGCGCGCAGGTAAAATTGAGACTTGCACGAACGATCCTCCCGTCGGACTTGATCCCGTTGGAAAGATTCTATCGTTCCGAAATTGACAATGGTCCTTCGTATTTCACATCGGCAAGCTACGGCGCGTCGACGCGCGCCTTCCACCCAAGGTGAGACGGCAGAAACCGCGAAACCGGAATCCTCGGGTTTCGACCAAGTACGAGAACACCTCTCGCGTCTACGACGGAGCGCGCAGTTCTAACGGGCTAACTATTGTATATACGAAAGATAAAATTGTCATGTTGCCGCGCGATAAGGCGAGATTCTACGATAAACACATACGAGAAAAGAGGAGAGAATCACCTACGTCTAAGGCACGCGTATAGTATGCGTCAACGCACGATACCTGTCTACATTAGTATGTATGTCTCTGTTGCGTGTGTATGTGTTGCGTGCACGTATGTCTTTGTGTGTGTCTGTCATGCGTGTGCCTGTGTGTATATTTCTTTATATATCTTTTTTTTTTTCATTTTCGTGCATGTGCGCGTATGCGCCTATCTATAAACGTAGGAACTCTGTACGTCCGCGTACGCTCGGGATATCACAGCTAAACACTTAAGCTCTCGCCGCCTGCTTAGAGAAGAGGGTTTAAAGCTAGAATAAATAAGTTTCACGAACCGCCGAAACTCGTCGTCATCTGACCTGTAATCGCGCGCTGATCCTGCAATCGCGCCATCGACACCTGCGCGTGTCGCACACAGATCGACCGTCGATTCGATTGAGCCTCTGGCGTCTGCGTCCGTGCAACAAGCCACTTTTCGTTCGATCGTGAGCGTAATCTATCCGTTGGCATATCATGAAATGAAGTATCGTGCGCAAGACGAGTCGATCAGAGAATGTATCTGTACATTTGGTTCTCTCTCTCTTTCTCCTCCTCTTGCTGTTTCCGTATTTCTTCTTTCTCTCCGTCCATCGTTCTCCGATAGGTGCGCGTCAAAAATTGCGTCTGAGAATCAAATCGGAAATTCCTTCCGAAATTTCTTGCACGCGCGCACATGGTATGACCGACGGCTGCGATTCGTTCGATCGACGTTTTACGAGTCAAAGTAAAAGCACCAATGCCCAGACACGTACTTAATCCTAAGCATTCTTTTGGTCTTTAAATATGAATATTCAGATTTTCAACATAGAATATATGTACATATTCATTTTATTTATATATATATATATATATTCTATATTGAAAGTTTAAATATTCGCATTTAGAGAAAGAAACAAGAATGTCTAGAATTAAGTGCGTGTCCAAGGATTGGTGTTTGGACTTTAAATCCGATCGACTCGATCGCGCCTGATACCCTCGTAACGCGTCATAACGCGTTTGTCAACGTGTATCCCCTATGCTCGGCACTAAAAATGTATGTTACTCGATATAATACTGTTCAGAAGTAGATCTCTTAATACTGGTCTCTAGTTTATTGTCCATTAAGAATATTTCTATTGCCACAGTCGGGCCGACCTGACTGTCCAGTGGAAAGACTCTCGAGTTAAATAATGATTCACCGCGCGCGGCAATTGGAAGTACTCTCGCTTCTTAATCTTAACAACAACACAGCATCAGGCACGACTTGCGATTGTATCGGCGAACCTGCGAGTCTACTGAACGATTCAAAAGTATCCAGACGAGAATGATGAGTCGCGATAATGGAATAAATACGTGGGTTATACGTTAAAGTACGTGTGACGTGATATACGAATCGACGCTGTACAGAGATACAAGTTGGCAGATCTCGGGGTCTGTGAAACGCGGGTTTCCTCAATTAGAAAACATTAACTCGGGTTTTTTCTGCTTGTTCCTCATCAGTCTGTTTCGCGGGGGTCCCCTCCTGGGTCGCTGCGGCAAGGAACTGTTTCGGCCCGGCGCGCGGGGGTGCTTCCTCTGCTTCTTCATTTTCATCATACTCTTGCCGCCCTTCCCGCCGAGTCTCTTCTTAGCGTTCTTCTTGAAGTTCAGTGGCTTGATCGTATTGGGGTCGCAGGTGCCGGGCCCTGTCGCGGTGGCGTTGCGGAACGCCCTCGTCCAATCGTTGAGAAACATCTGATAGAGTCTCAGCACGCCCCAATCCTGAATCAACATCTGCGTGAGATCGCCCTCCTTTGCCCAATCCTGGCTTTCTGTCACGATGTGCGCGGTATGTGTGGTGGGCAGTTGCAGGCCAAGATTCAGAATCGCGGTCTCAACCTCGCACAGCATCTGCAATCGTGCGTAGAAAGACGAGGTGTCACTTGAAATTCACTCACAGGCACATTTTCGCTCGCGGCAGGTCGACTGTCCGTCCGTCGTGACACGCTCGCGAGCTTTACGACGCGGCTTGATCAATGACCGTGTAAGATCGGGATAATAAAACGTCCATAAATCTAACGAGTCGCGTTTGTCGAACAGTTAATATGATTTACGAGCGATCTCGCGCGCGGACGATGCGAAATGCAAATTTCAATTAATAACACAGATTGCGTCGTCTCGAAGCGCGCCAACTCACCCGGAGAATCTCGTTGTACATCCCCTCGACGATCTCGTTCCGTCTGGTGAGATTGACGTTGATGTTCGATTTGAGATGATAGTCCCGAAGATGATTGAACGTGATGGCGAACCTCTGCAGCGCGTCGTGCAAGCGCGGCAAGGCGCGCTCGGCCTTCTTTCCCTTTTCCAGACACCAAAGCTCCTTGTGATACCACTCGAGCTGCTTCTCGGGCAGCCAATTCATTTTGTACTGCTCCTTCAGCACATTGTACACCTGTGGCAGAAAGATGAGATAATGTTTAGTCTTGCGCGCGCGGGGCCGTAATTATACGTCGCCGAGTAGCGCTCCCGGTATAATCAATTTCTGCGAATTCGCGGGATCCTACGTGGAATTATGCTGCATCGAATATTTAAGGATGCGCCACACGAACATGTCTCGCGCAAACGACTCGTATCGCGCTCGTATTATCGTCGTGCGCAATTTGCGCGACTCGGCGCGCGATCTCACGCAACTCTATCGCGATGCCGTCATGCCGCATAAATTCGATAGACCGCACGCGACACACTGCTGTATTTATGAATTATTTAGTAGATTATCCGACGTGACATTTGCGTGGCGGGGCCGCGCGAACGATCCTGATTCCGGCGGTAATAATCCCGCTACGGGCTACGAGCCGGTGCGTCGAGCCTCATACCGGTCCGCTGCCACGTTGTTACCACGCTGTTACGTTATCGAAAAGCACATTATCGCAAATCTGCCGCGGAATGCGGCCGTACGTATCCTGGGATAAGCTTCAAAGTGATAAAAGTCGATAAACAAAATATATCGCTCTATCCATGCGGCCCGAACGATTCGCCGCCGCCGTGAACTCGATCTTAGGCGATTTTTCTCTCTCTCTCTCTCTCTCTCTCTCTCTCTCTCTCTCTCTCTCCTCTTCTTCGCTTCTCTCGTTCTCTCTCTTCCTCTCTCGTGCTCTCGTTCTCTTTAGTAGACCAAACAATAACATCTATCATCTCATTACAACGACGTTATAAAGCCTCTTATGTAAATGCGCGCGCTTATCTTGGTCTCTCGCGCGAAGGGACATTATTTAATAACATCACGACGACGACGACAACAAGTTTTCAGTACACCGAGTGAGCGACGCGCGTTCCGCAACGCGGACGGGAAGCGATCCGTCATCGAATCCATGAAGTGGCTTAAAGCGCGCCGCCGCGCGGCACCCTTCAAGTGGAAAAAGTAATTACGCGTTGGATGTGCGCGGCGCGCATTCGCTCTCGCTCTCGCGCGTGGCACATCGTAACCGATGCAAATTGCCGACGGAAAGTAGGACTGTGTACTAGCGATGTTGCATTGTACGCACGTGCGAGGTCCCCCTCGAGCGGCTACCCACGCGGCTCTACCCTGACGCGACACGACGCGACGCGACGCGACGCGACGCGGCGCGATTAATGACGGAATTGCGGTCGCGAGCAGCTTGCAGATCTCATCTCACCTCATCGCATCCCGTCTGTTCTCACCTTCGAATAAATTTCGCGCATGTCATTGAGATCCTTCCTGAAGTGATTGTGCGCGACACGCAGCTGCGTCTTCACCCTCTTCAGCGTCCTGTGCACGCTGTGTCGCTGCGGCACCCTCTTGAGCGTGGCCACCACTTGGGTGCCGCAGGGTTGCAACCAGGGTTCCATGCTATAGGAATTGGCCGCGAGTCGGAGACTGCTCGCCGGCGCTGCCGAAGCCGGATTCAGCCCCGAGCTCAGGAAAAAGGCGAAACTCGTGAGAGTGACCGTTTGTGCCACCGAATCTGCAATAGAAAACAGAAAGGTCACGCTACAGAGATGTGCGTCAACGGCCGGACGATTGAGCGTAAAGACGCGTTTTGCTCGATGACATTTGTAACCTGACTTCTCATCGTCTGAACCGGTCGCGATTCGCCGTTACCAGATTAAGATATTAGATGAGATGCGATAGACGCAACAAGTGTGCATGACCCGCGACGTAAGGTGATATTTATATTCACGTTCGCGATCGATCGTGTAGATAATTCGCGGCTGGAGGGCCGATAAAGTCAGCGGATCACGACTGAAGAAAGGTCGCGAGCCATTTTGCGCGAGTAGAGAGGTGGAGTAAGAAGCGTGCGAAGAGGGAAAGGGAGAGTCGAGGTTCTTCCGACTTTCACACTCGGCGTACCTACACGGATACGTAGGTACCTACCATCGCGCACCTACGCGCCAATTTAACAGCGACCGATCGTCGCCCCCGCAGTAGGAAATGGGTTGCAAATCGGAGAATCAGGATTTATTGCGCAATTAAACGTCGCGGCTTACAACTGCGCGCGCGTCGCGGTTTTACCTCGAGCTGCGCGCGGATCTTTCGAAATTGTCGAGCAGCGAGGCAAGTGCGGTATAATCAGAGACAAATAAGACCATAATACGCCTCTCAGAGGCGGATGGGGCTCCGTCGAGAGAGAGAGAGAGAGAGAGAGAGAGAGACAAGAAAGAAGTTGAACTCTCGTGATGCAAGTGTGCGTGAAGAGGAACATCTCGTTCCTCCGTGCACGGTTGTTACACCAAGTTTCGAGTGTCGTCTGGACGAAACCCAGCACCACGCAGCGAAGGCATCGTGTGGCGAATCGATTGGCGATCAGTGCCGCGCTGGTAGTGTCGCAAAGCCCGACAAAGACCCGGCGCGAGCAAAGCGCGAGGGCCCGTGTGGGCAATTAACGCGCGTTTGATCATTCATGCGTGCCCGCGGAGAAGCACGTGTAAATTTATCCGAGGAGACGGCGCGAACGATCTCTCAGGTGTAATGGCGATTCGATGCGTACAATTTGCACGTCCGTCACGCGTGAACTAACGTGCGTGGCACAGTCATCGCGTGCACGCGCGCACGCTTGGCGAAAGCGCATGCGACGTGTGCGCTACGTGGTCCCGCGCGCACCACCACGTGTGTCGTCGAGAGACTCTTTGGCTCTTAATACCCGACGCTTCTTAATGACAGCTTCAGGGTACACACCGCCGAAGGTGGCGGTTCTTATCGCGTTTCCCATATTTTCTGTCGTCGCGTCTCGAAGAGGAAGCGAGTGCCTGGAGAAAGTGCGCTCATGGTACGGTGATAAATCAGGCTTCCGTGCGCTAGTTCTGATTCAACGAGTATCTCGCACTAATCCTCGACATTTCTCTCGTAACGCGGAGACGAATCTCGCTCTGTTCATATTTTGCAGTGACACTTAGGACTGTCTGTTTGAATTTCTCCCGGCTGGCCGGTGCGTGAGAGAGTTCAGCAATGTTCTTTCGCATTATTTCTTCGATTTACATGCGCCTTTCAGCGCGACGGGAACACTCGAAATCGCGAATCCGGTTGTCATGTGGATTTTTCTGCGGCGCGACGCGCTATCGCGACGAGGGATCTGCGCGCGAGCGACGTAACAATAAGTCCCAATTCGATTAGGCCGTTAGCGCGCGAGGCCGAAGGAAGCCGAGTTGTGTGGCTGTGTGTATCTTATCGTAAACTCACGCCTCCTCTTCTTCTCCCGGAGTTGCCCCGAGCCAGCAGTCTCAGGCGTTCCGTATCCTCGGCTGCAAACCGCGTGGGTGTACGCGTTAGAGGTGCACCCAATATTATATACACTCCTAACGACCGTCGCTTCCAACTATATCAATTTACGTTCTCAGTTAGTGGCGTTGCTGCCCTCCTGCGCGAATTATCCGGCATCTAAGGCGGACAGCGACAAAGTGACTTTACGCGAAGTTACGCGGCATCCACTGACAGGTTACGATTTAATTGCGCCGTTTTGCGCCGTGAGACAAGCGGATTGCTTGAAAACGATGACATGGTGGCGAATACAGGATAAGACGGCGAATCCAGGTGGATTAATTTCTCACGCGTCTCTAATAACTCATTCTTCAAGGCGATTACGCTTTTGGGAATATCGAGCGCCATTATGTAAAAAAAATACACGGAGCGGTTGTTCACTAATCGATTAAAATTTTCTGTGATCATAACGAATAATCTGCAAATCTCAATAATCGAAATTAATCAGCCATTATGTATATAATCGCAGATATTTCCGTTCGTTGATGAGAATTGTTAAGCAAGCTTTGATGTGATTGATTATACACTGATTAACAATTGATCTCATCAGTCGATTAAATTATTCGTGATTGCATACATATGACGATTGATGAATTTTGATGATTGATTTGCCGATTATTTTGATCGAGAAAATTTTTAATCGACTAAAATTTAGCACACTGACGCGCAAAGTCGATCGTTCTCTTGGTGCAAAATAATAATGAACAGCGATTAACTCGCGCAGAAGAGCTTGCGACGTATATCTCCTCTCGCTGGCGTAATATTCCCTGTAATCGCGGTCTCGCCACCTATGGGGGCACGCTAAATCGCACGCAATGACCACGTACCGCACCGCCTATAGGAATTCACCGCGTTATTTCACCGCGTAATTATTCGAGGAGGCGCCTCCGACTCCCTTCTTACGATACACTCTCATTACGTGCGATAACGCCGATTTCAAACGCGTTTCAGAACGAAACGTCCATCATTCATACGGGGGAATTATCCCAAATATACTTCTTTTCAACCATTCGCATTCCGGACGGAGTGTCGTGTCGACGGGGTAGCTGGCTCCGCGCGCGCGCGCGCCTTTAATGCATGCTTTCCTCGTCCCTCGATAGGCCTTGCCAAGGTGGAGTCGCGGGCTATCCTCGGCGATGGATTCTCCGGATGCCAGTAGTCGGACGATCGGTCGGCCCTCCGGTGATTTGGCGAAAAGGGGCGGCCAGGGGGAGGGGAAGGGCAGTGCTCTTTTTTTCCGCGGCACAGGACGAAGATTGTTGGTTTTGCAGCAGCGGTACCGCGGTGGTGAATGCCCCAAGGCGGCAAAAGGCGGTTGCTGCTTTCTGGGAACGGGTCGGAGTCCCGGCCGCACCGGGAGCGGTGATTGCGTGGTGATTAGCCTCCACCTTCGCCTCTCTTTGGACCGGCGAGAGAGAGAGAGAGAGAGAGAGAGAGAGAGAGAGAGAGAGAGAGA